AGCAGTATTCATACTTAGCACAAACGTAAGAGAGCCTAACACAGCAAAAGGAGGGGGGTGGGGTTACTGACCAGCAAACATGATGGTGGGAAGATAAATTCAATCCACCCATGTCTGTAGGACAAAACATTTTGTTTAATTACGGCTCTTTATGGTTTAGTGGGATGTCACGAACTTATGGTATTGATGCTGATTTATCAGGCAAAATACCTCATTAAATCGTGTTACGAACGTTGAAATGGTTTCACTTCCTACCCAGTAATCCTATTGCAAGCAAACTAGACAATTTGCTAATATACGAAGCCTACTCAAGACCCTATAATACCTGAAAAAATATATTAATACAAAAAAACGAAAGGGGCTCTAATAGCTTCGATAATAAAAGGAAGACAGCCAATTGTATATCACAATACTGTTTCTAGCACTATATTTTATTTTATAATCACACATAATCCCATACTCTCAGCTCCTTTCCGAATCGCCTCCATTTGTCAGTTGTATGTACACTCATACCTTGCTAACACTTATTTTCTTCAACCTATTAAAATGCCCTTTCTTAACAAATACCTTAATAAAAGAAAATTAGACTGAGTAATCATACCTTAAACATTCCTTCATGAATATTGGCTACTCTGCCCCTCGTGTTTTCTTTTACTTGCTCCCTCTTTCAGCCCCCTTGTGATATGGAACGATAGATTTTATCCTGCACCATCCTCAAAGCCTTAGACATTCCGCTTCCCATGTAACAATGTATGATGCCTCCAGTCACATTCTTTGACGGCACATGACCTCGGTGCTCGACAGTTTCTTGCTATGTGGTTCGCTTTTAGACATACATTACACTTCTTCTTTGATACAAATTCTATCCTTTCATTAACATTCTTGTCTCTAAACCTTTCACATTGATCTAAGGGGTGGTTTCCAATACATAATAAACATGACAACCCAAGAGTCCTTGGTCTTACATATGGAGTGATATCAGACTCAGTTGTGTTAGCGAACGACACTCTCACCTCATATCCTGAATCAAAGTGTCCTTTAGTATCAGCCACAGATTGTTTTTGGTTGCGATTAGAAGGGTCACCGGTGACAAGTAATCCATATCTAGTATTAGCAATGTAAGCTTGCTCCTTTACAAACTCAACAAGATCGTTGAACAGAGGCTCTCGGCCTCCTCTGATAATCTTATAAGCTACTTTCGTGCCTTAAGGTAACCCTCGTGCTATTGATAGAAGAAACCAGACAAGTAGTGAATAGGTCTTTATTTCGATCTTCGCGCAGTCACAGTGGAGCGTGGGATTATCTGTTCAGACAAACAAAGGCTCTCAACATTCAAGATAATAGGGAATATAACGCTTATAAAAAATAAGGAAGCGAATGAATACTTGAACAATACTGTTTTGGCATAAGCTTGGTTGTTTGGGGTCAACTCTTAACCAACCAACCTGAGCTGTTACATTAGCTTCCCCCTAGAATCGACTTCCGTAGGAACGTCGGTTCGATTAACCTAACTATCGAAAACACCTTAGTTCTATTTCTCATCCCAAGGGAAAATTATCAACTCGCTCACTATTTGACTTACAATCAGTGACGACTAACGCTGTCAACGATAGTCCATGGATGTCTCCTCATTTACTAGCTGTCATCTTATTTTGTAGCATGTGATCTATTCTACAACTATCGCTGACGGTTTACTGCGTGCTTTCAAGAGAAAGAGTGTGAGAATGTGGAATAAGAATATCTGAGGAAGTGCCGCGAGCGGGCTACCCAACACCATGTTGGTGAGGTACGATTTTTCCATGTCAG